GGACACGCTGGTTTTGTACCACTGGACACAGTCTTTCAGCTCGCAAAAGGTAAAGGAAATCATCGCTCGCTTGGGTTCCCGGGCAAGAATCACCTGCAGTGAGCATCCCTGTGCCTCGGGAGGATGGATGCACTGGGGGAGGGCGAGGGGCTCAGCCCCGGGGCTGGCCGGGGCATTAGCGTGTGGCCGCGCTGCTCTTTGTACCTGCGGCTCTGCCCTTTAACAGCATCTGCCCGGGGAGGGGATGGGGATGCTCAGCCAAATCCTGCCTGTGCTTTGGGATTGTGACTCGCACCGGGAGCCGCCTCGGCTTTGTGCTCGCTCCCAGCCCCACACTGGCGTGGCCAGGAGCAGAGACAAAGGCTGAGCTGGGCCCCGGGACCACCCTGCTGCTGGGGAGGGGAGGCAGCCCGAGCCAGGCGGTGCATCCCGGACCCAGCACGCAGCGATGATTCACCCCTCACACTGCAGCAGTGCCCTGGAAATTCTATTCCCAGAGTGCCCCAGCAAGAAATCCCATTTTCCAGACAATAGTAAATGCTCGTTTCGCAGCCCAGCAGATTTGTAGCAAACCCAGCCTTCTTCCCCCAGCCCCAAGTCGCCCATCATTCCTATGCCATTAATACTACGTGGAGAATGGGCTATTTGGAGGGGTGGAGGAACACCAAGTTCCCGCAGTTCCAGGGCCCCCTTGAGCATCACCAGCCGAGTGGGAAGGCCGGGACAGAGGTGCTCGTTCCTGCTTGCAGGCACAAAGGAGGGAGGATGCCCAATGCAGCAGGGTGGCTGCACATGGCAGTGGGTGACTGGCAGGCTCCGGATCCGCACTGGCGAGGGATGCTCTGCCCGGCTCTCTGCCTCCCGCCCGGCTCGCTGTTATTTTTTGTCTTGCTTGTTTGGCTGCCAGCAGTGGGGAGCCACCGGCTGAGGCACACCTTGTACTGGGTTTCCTACAATTAGCCTCACTCTGCAGGGCTAGGCACAGGGCCGGGGACAGAGCAGGGGACACCTCCACACCTCCTGGCACCTGGGATCTGGCACTGTGTCAGGCTTTGCTTTTGAGGTCACTTGCAAGAAAAGAACACTTGCTGTAAGGAGGAGGGGCACACGCTGGTGTGATGGACATCACAGGGTGGGGAACAGCGAGGGTTCCACTGGAACCCCCAGCAGAGAGATTTTGCTCAGAGCTGGCTACAGGCAAAGCTTTTGCTGCTCTGCCCCGGGAGCTGCTCAGAACCACCTTCTGTGAGCGCAGGGCTGTTGTGAGAGGGATTCTAAGCCCCCCCAGGACCTGGCTCTGCCTGCAAAGGGCTTTTTGGAGTTTTACACAAGATGCCAGCCATGCCCCAGTACTGCACAGACCGGCTGAGATGTCCAGGAATGTTTCATCAGCCCTGTCCGAGATCCCTCCTCAGAGCACTTGTAGGGACTCCCCTTGCCCCCAGGTACTGGAGTACCCCATGAACTTTCACTGCCTCATGCCCTGCAGCTGCCTCCTGCCAGACCTTCAGCCTCAGCTCCTGATAGCAGAACAGGGAAGCACAGGGAGCTTGGGGCTGGATTCCCCAGGTGGTCCTGGCTGAGGTTTATCTATCAGCTGGGAGGGAAAGGCCAGGAGCAAGCTGCAGTTGAGGGACCCAGGCTTTCCCTTGTTCGACTTTAAAAGAAAAAATTAACTTGCCAGCCCTGTGAATAATTAATGACTAATTCCCCAGGAACTCTGAAGTACTCATAGAAATGCTTATATTTGTTAAGCTGTATTTTTAGCTGCTGCTAGTTGGGTGAAAACAAGTGCTTTTCCTTCATTTGGTGGTTCTGTAAACCGTGGCCATCTCACATCCCCTGAGAGAGGGTTTTTTTTTTGGTGTTTGACATACTTAGTTCATAATGGTCAGGTTTTATAACTCAGAAGCCTAAAATGCAATCCTGAAGTGCATATTCAGCACCAGCTCACGCACAGAGCGAAGCAGCAGGATCAGCCCTGAGGACCAGCAATTGGGATGGGGATGAGGATGGTGTCCTGCATCCAGCCCCACTCCTGCCTCTCTGCACTGCTGGATTCAGCTTTCCCACCCATGAGACATGTAGGTGCCACCCCAGCAGTGACACAGGCTGAGCAGGGCTGGAGAAGGGCAGTGGCAGGGGAACAGGGAGGCAGCAGGTTTGGCGCAAGAGGTGTGAAGGCAGTGGGTGATGCCCTCGAGTTGGCAGCAGCATGGAGGAGGATGAATGCTGTGGGAGTCACAGGGGCTGCCTGAAACTCCAGACAAAACGGGGCCTGCTTCCTGATCAAAATGTGCTAGTAAAGTCCACCCCTGAGAATGGGACATACCTGAGTCAGCATCCAGGTCTCCTTCAGATAGGCAGCAGAAACCACTGGGTGTAAGTGCAAGGCATTATATTGCTGCAGCCCCTGCTTTCTCCTCTTCCTCCTCCTTTTCTTCCTCAGGTATATGCTGGGCTGTGCTGGTATCCACAACAGTATCACTCATTCCCCCCAGCTGGGGAGCTACTGCCTCCCTCCACCCACTGCTGAAGGATTGGCTCCCAGCCCTCCATCCTCTCCAGCCCCTCTGCCTATCATATAGGCCACCAGCAACCAGAGGGAGGATGGTCCATGATCCTGCAAAGCTAGGATGGGTTTGGGTATCCTCTCTTTGCTGGCAAAGCAAATCCTTTCTTGTCTGCCTGGATTTTGCAGCTGTCCCATGCCAACAGCTGCTTGGCTTCCTGCAGGACAAGAATGTGTCCTGACACACTGCTGTGCTGAAGCTGTAGGGGAGTGTCTGGGGCTGTGATGGGAGTGGGGCTGGTTTGCTATGAGGGCACTGAAGACCAGCTTGGTGCATGGGGCTGAGCCCTTTCTCCCTGGCCTCTTGCCCCAGGTGCGGCTGGTCATCGCTGAGAAGGGGCTGCCCTGCGAGGAGAGGGATGTCAGCATGCCCCTGATGGAGCACAAGGAGCCCTGGTTCATGCGGCTCAACCTGGGGGAGGAGGTGCCTGTCATCATCCACAGGGACAACATCATCAGCGACTACAACCAGATCATCGACTACATGGAGAAGAACTTCACGGGAGGTAATGAGGGGGTGGGCTGTGTCTCCTAGGAAACTTGGGTCTAGTCCAGATGCTGTTTGCCAAATGCACTTTTGCCTTTAACATTTCACCTTCACCCCAGAAGAGCAGCAAGCTACCAGCCCTCCTCAAACTTCTATGTTTTCCCATGAAATTGAAGAATTTCCAGCAGAAATTGCCAAATGTCCTGTGGAAGTGCTGCTGCTGGGTTCTGGGGTGGCACAGCTGGGTGCCCCCTTTTTCTGTCTTGGAGGCCATGCTCCCAAATCAAAGTGTTTAATCTTATCCCCCTGGAGCATGGAGACATCTCACCAGAGCCACTGCTGGGGCATGACCCATGCAGATACTTCTAACTTTGTACTTTGGCCTCTGATAATGGTATAAAAACCACCATAAGGGGTCCCACTGAGAGAAGGTGGGTTTGAGCCAGGTGCTGCTGCCCCTCTCCCCTTCCTTGATGAGCTCTGGACTACCAGCCATGGGCAGGGGACCCTGCTGTCCCTGGTGTCACTGTGCCTCAGAGAAATTTGCCTCAAACAAAGCCAGTGGTGCTGGGGACCTTGGGAAGATGATGTGACACAAACCCAGAGGAAGGGACAGCCAGGAGAGGGAAGCTCATATTCCCCCTGGAGCAGGGCTGCAGCCAGTGACTGGCTGAGCCTGGCACACTGGGATGCTGAGACAGCACTTGAAAGCAGCTGTTTGCTCTGCTGCAGCGGTGAGCAGCCTCTCCCCAACATCTCACACCCCTTCACCTTCATTTCCCCAAACCTGGGGGCTGACAGGCTGGGACGCCCACCAGGGAGGCTTCAAAGCTGAGCATGGAGTTCGGGCTGTGCCATCACGACGTTCGCCCCAGCATCCATCCCCCTTGCAACAGAGACATCAAAAACATCTCAAAATAGCTCCCGAAGCAAGGGCGCCTTGCCAGCTCAGCTGCTGTCCTCTCCCGGCCCTGCCACCGTGCTGCTGCTCCGGGGAGGCACAAAGCTCACCCACCAGTGGGGCAGCAGGGATGGGGTCAGTCAGGAGCATGCCACACTGGCAGCAGGTCCTAAGGAATGGCAGCTGCTTTCCTGCCTGGCAGCAGTCCTGGGACAAAGGGCCAGCAGGGAACATCAATCCACAGGGCTGCGGTCCCTGAACTGCTTCACTGTGTCTCTGCAAAGGGCAGGTGGTCCAGCATATGTGACAACAGGCTGTCCCCAGCAGGAAGGGGACACAGAGCTGCCCAAGCGCTGGGAAACTCCTGTCATTGAGGTTTACCAGCCAGGTAAAGTTTTTGCTGAGAAATGGAGAGGGGAAGCTCCAGGGAAGAAGGCCCAGAGCATTGCTCCTTGTGCCATGCTCTGCTCAGACCCATCACTCAGCAATGCAGCGGGAAAAAGCATTATGAGGATGCTGTGGTGTTGGTCTGAGGGGGAATTTCCCACCTTGCAGAAATGTGCAGAGCTTGAAAGGCCTTTACAAGGTTTATTTACTGAATTATGTTTTCCTCTGGGCTGGGAGCATGATCTTTGTCAGATGCTTACACACACACTGAGGGTCCATCGCTCGTTGCTATACGCCCCACGTGTGCAGGGCTGCTGTGGCATGTAAAGGCAGGGTGAGCACCATCCCACTGAAAAACCTCCCTGGGACTGCTGAAGGACGTGGGCTGGCAGCCAGCACACCACTATTTCATTGTGGTCGCTGTGTCTTGCTGCCGGATGGGGCAGTCACTCTGGATGTGCTGGTTTCCAGCCTCGGCCCCAGCTCATCGGGTGCCGGCCAGGAGCCCTGCAGAAGGAGCACACAAGCTATAGGTCAGTTATTATTATTTCATTCATCCAGTCGCTTTTCTCAGATGGAAAATCCCCGCTTGGAGAGCTGGAGCCCAGGCAGTGCAGGCAGTGAGCAGCCCGTGGGCAGGGAGGAGCTGCTGAAACCTGCCTGCGCTCAGGGGACAGTGACACTGATGCCCATTGATTGGATAAACTCTGTGGATTCTTCCAGCAGACAGTTGCATCAGAGCTATGAGGAGGTTTGCAATACAGGAGCTGCCAAAATTTCCATGGGTCCCATCCAGCCATGGGCACAGTCAGGCACGACGATGGCAAGGCAAGATGTTCATCCCAGCCAGGTGGGCATTGCCATGCCTGCTGCCCAGCAGCAGGGCTGGGCAGAGGAGACCTGTCATTTCAGGCCCTGGAATAAGGGGCTGCACTGGTCACATCTGCCAAAGTCCTTCTGCCAGTATGCCCTAACTCAGATGGAGACACCGGCACACCCAGAGCCCTGCACTGCAGATGGCATGTGGGCAACAGATTCACTGAGTCCCAGCGGTGAATTTACTCACTACCTGTGAACTTCTTTCTGCAAATGCCATAAACATTTATGATCCCGTAAAAAAATGGACCCGCTGTTCTTTGGAGAGACAAGAGCAACATTTCACTACTTCTGGAGTCTGCCATGTATTTTGAGCTGGAAGTGTAGTAAAATGGGTACAACACAAACTGCCATCAGTGCATAAAACCCAGCAAGGTGAGGAGGAGCAGAGCCAGATGGGGCAAGGGATGCTCCTGCAGCTGAGGCACTGGCCAAGCATGGAGGGAAGATGCATTGGGCTCCTTTGATCATCTGCTTTGATTGCTCACTTTGGGATCTTCAAGGAAGCTCAAGAGAACAAGGTACCTCATTGCCACTGGTGTAAAAGTGTGTAACTCAGATGATCCTAAACTCAAATCCGCATCTTTCAGCTCTCCTCTGCAGAACAGGAAGATTTTTCTCCCATTCTAAGAGATGTGAAATCAGAGTGTACAAATTCAGGGGCTGCAGAGACTTGAGGCTCCTTACACTGAGCTCCTGGGGACATGGGGGCTGTGAGGCTGGGTGATGACATCCATACACTTCCCTGTGGTCCATCTCTGGGCATGGGCTGGACGCGCTCCTGGCTGGGATGGGCAGTAGGGAGAGGGCAGATTTGAGTTAATGCACCTCCACAGCCAGCCCTGCTCGGAGGTACTCAGGCAGGATTGCACACCGGTGTCCAGTGCAGGCTAATGAGCCACTAACGAGGGCTTGAGCCTCCCCAGGTCCCACTAACAGCTTTCCCTTTGCCCTCGCAGAGAACGTCACGCAGCTGATCCCTGAGCCGGGCAGCCTGCTGCACTCCCGGGTGCTGCAGTACCGGGAGCTGCTGGACTCCCTCCCCATGGACGCCTACACACACGGCTGCATCCTGCACCCCGAGCTCACCACCGACTCCATGATCCCAAAGTACGCCACCACTGAGATCCGCAGTAAGTTGCCTTTCCAGAGGGGCTGCCCAGGGCTCCCCAGCTCCTTTAGGCTTGGTTTGGCTCTGCAGCCCAGCCAGCCCCCCTGCTTGGGGGTGTCTGGCCTCCTATGGGACATGCACACTTCTCCCCACTCTTTCTGGGCCGTGGGAGTTTGCCCCTCTGCCTCCAATATCTCTAAGGACAAAGGCAGGAGAATACAGTAAGATAGAGTTGCAGACAGTGGATGAATCGGCATAAGTCTGTGTACCTGACCTTCAAGTGCTCATGAAACATTGACGATGCTTAATATAACTCAACGGCAAGGATTGCTCCTGGAGAGAGTTCCTCACCAGAAAAGTGACCTTGTCAGGAGGGTATTGGCATGTCCCACGTCTCTCCCCTCCTGTAGGCTCTGGCCCCAAGCAGCGCCTGTAGAAAACACCTTTCCTACCCTCATCCCTTCAGCTGCCTGAGTTCCAGATAGTGCTGCTAAAATGGGATGCACTTGTGCATGAAGAAAGAAATAGGCAGTGCCTGAGGTGTTGTTTGTGGTCTGCCCTGCCGCTGCTGGCACCTGTCACAGACAGCTTTCCCCACGTCACCAAGTGTCACCTCCACCCCCAGGCCTTTGCCAGATGCAGGGCAGAACCTGTCTCCTCCCCAGAGGGTGCTGCTGCAGTGGTCTCAGCCCCCATCTGCCTCACATCACCTCCCAGGCACTCTGCTGAGGTCCCTCCAGAAGTCATCCAGACCTCCTCGCTGGTGGCATTTGGAGGGGCTATGAGCAGGTCTATGGGCCAGTGGTGCCCTTCCTCTCCAGCCCATCCCCTGCACCCAGGCAATGGCTCAGCTGTCCTGTTGCACTAGGTGCTGAGGAAAATCTATGTAGTTGTGTCCCAAAGAGAGGGTGAAATGAGGGCCAGGCTCTCCCAAGGGGAGCAGTGGAAAGAAACCAGGACGATATCCAGGTTTCCATGTGAGTTACAGCTCCAGGAGAGCTGGTTGGCAGCCTTAGCAAGCACAAGCTTCAAGGCTTGTGACAGAAAACAAGGAGTTTCACCATTTTATGGCAGTGTACAGCCCACTGCTGGCTGCTGCCGCGGCCAGCCCTGGCACCTCCTGCACCCGCACATCGGCAGAGCCAAGCCCTTTTTGGAGGGAACAAGGAAGGAGAGACAGATGGTCCCTGGCGGGAAGACATTAGCCCAGCTTCGGGTAATTTATGCCATCCCTAAGGTGTTACTCTGTCTCTTGTATTCCTTTCTTCGTTTTACTCTGCTCCTTTCCCCCCATTAGCTCCCTAGCACAAAGCCCTTCCTGTTCTCCCCATGACCAGAGAGGGAGGAGGGTGAGCATCTCTCCCATGCTCACAGTGGTCTACATGCCACGGAGTTGCATCCCCAGACACCCAGCTGGGACAGGACAGCTTCATTTGGGAGGGAGCATCCCCTGCTGTGCTGCTCTGAATGCACATCCACAGATGGACATCCAGCTCCAGCATCCCAGAGGATATACCTGCTGGGGATGGAGCTGCAGGAACCAGGCTATTGAGAAGCTCAGGGATGTTCTTAAAACAGTAAGAGACAGAGAGAGACAGATCTGCCAGCAGCTCTAGTATGAATCCAGCAGAGGAAATGAAGAGCTGAAACTCCCCCTGAAACCTGCAGAGCTGGGACTTCCCATGGCCAGGGAGAGGGATCTGCTGTAGCCTGCAGCCACCACAGGGTGAATGGATGGGACAGCTGACAGAGCCACATGCCCTCAGACAGTGTGCAACGCCCCAGCCACCCCCTGTATGGCAGCACACCCATGAATTGGTCCAATTTTAGCTCTCCAGGTTTTTCTTGGTGCCACAACAGTATTTTGAATGTAGGACAAGGTGCTTTGCTATCAGACACTAGGTCATCCTGACCCCTGTCAAACACAGCCCCCCAACCCCTCTGTCTGTCTGCCCCCAGGACATTTAGCTAATGCCAGCATGGATCTGATGAAGCTGGACCACGAAGAGGAGCCACAGCTATCCGAGCCCTACCTCTCCAAGCAGAAGAAGCTAATGGTGAGTGGGTCAAAGCTACACACATCTCTGGTGTTGGGGACACATGACCCACAGACCTGCCAGGGACACCCAGTGCCTTGTGTCCCTGCATCCATCCATTCCCCATCCTAACCCTCCTTTCCACCCAGGCCAAGATCCTGGAGCATGATAATGTGAACTACTTGAAGAAGATCCTTGGAGAACTGGGGATGGTGCTAGACCAGATCGAGGCCGAGCTGGAGAAGCGGAAACTGGAGTACCAAGGTAGGTGCTGGGTGTGTTTATGGAGTGTTTTTCCACACAAGGCTGAGGTGCAACATCAGGAACAGCCAACAGCTTTGTACCTGATAAACATCCCCCGTGGTGCAACCACTGTTGGGTCTGGAGCTGAGCTCACCTGTTTTTGGGTACACGGATGTCATTGCAGCCGTGGTCTTACTAACCTCTGTCAAACCACCCTGGAGCTCTCCTGTTTTTGGGTACACAGATGTCATTGCAGCCATGGTCTTACTAACCTCTGTCAAACCACCCCTGCACCCCTTGCCACAGGGGTTAGCAGGTCCTCTGTCCTTACGGGTGCTCTGTGGGAGCCCCAGAGTCATTGCAGGGTGATGGCAGGTCCTCTCTGCCCCAGCGAGGGGCTAACAGGGACTGATGCTCTGGCTGGTCCTGTTTTTGGGTACACAGATGTCATTGCAGCCATGGTCTTACTAACCTCTGTCAAACCACCCCTGCACCCCTTGCCACAGGGGTTAGCAGGTCCTCTGTCCTTACGGGTGCTCTGTGGGAGCCCCAGAGTCATTGCAGGGTGATGGCAGGTCCTCTCTGCCCCAGCGAGGGGCTAACAGGGACTGATGCTCTGGCTGGTTTAGGAGGGAGCACTCTGTCCCCAGGCACTTCCAGCACAAGAAGTAACATCTGCCGAAAGTGCAGGGCTGGGGACATGCTGCAGCCAAGCTTCCTCTGGTCACAGGGCTGTGGCACATCCCAGTGGAGCATGGGCAGGGAAACCCAGGAATTTGAGGGGCCCTGGAGCAGTGGGAGCCTTTACAGAACCTGTGTCACATATCAGTGGGTGGGAGAGAGCAGGGCCAGCCATCCCCGACGTCAAACATACACTGCTGGGTGCCTGCCTAGAGCTGCCCCAGTGCCCTGGCAGTCAGGGGTGCATGGGCACAGCTGGGCAGTGCTTGTCCTGCTGTCACCCCAGCATCATGCTGTCCTCCTCCTGTCCCCACAGCTGGCAGGGCTTGAAACCTCAGCCCCAGGAGGGCTGGCTGCTGCCAGCACCACCGTGCCAGATCCAGAGCAGAGCCCAGACACAGTTAATCAGGGGATGGCCCCACAGCTGCCCCTGCCCTCGGGGCTGGCCCCAGCTGCAGGACCCTGCGTCATGCTCGGGGCTGAACTGAGTGCTCTTGGAGGTGCCAAGGTCAGGCCCTGCAGGGCACCAGGCTGGGGATTTACTGGGAGCCCTGATGTGTTCACAGCAGCACCCTGCACTGCCCTAATTGCCTCCAATGAACACCCTCATTAACTGGTCTGAGGGCTAGGACAGCTCAGCAGAATTCAGTCTAATGAGGTGCCCTCAGAGGACATCCCAGGCACCCGGAGCAGAGGGGTGGATGCTGCTGCTGCCTGGGTGCTCTGCTGCCTTTGGTCCTTACACGCTGCTCCTGTCCTCTGCTCCAGACTCTGTGCTGTGCCCAGGGCCAGGTCAGGATCTCAGCAGTGGGCACAAGCACCAGCCCTTTGGCGAGTGCCCAGGAGCCGCAGTGCAGCAGCTCTCCTCCCACGCAGCCCGGGCTGCTGGCGATGCAGACTGAGCAGGACAGGCAGGAGGAGGGTGGGAGATGCTGCAGGAGCAGCAGGAGACCCCCTGCCTCAGGCACCCCCTTTGGCTGGGACATGCTTGGTCTGAGCTGGGGCTGCTGTGGATGCAAAGGGGACAAGTTGCCTTTGGCTGTGTCTCTGCCCCACCTCAGTGCTGGGAAGGGGTGCAAGGTGCTGGGGACCCTACAGCTGAGTCCAGACCTCTGCAGCGAGTGCAAGCCCAGAGGCAGGAGGGATAGGGATGGATCACGGCTGTCTGCCAGAGTCACCATCCTCACATGTGCATTCTCCTTCTCCTGCAGCAGTGCCTGGGAGCAAGGCAGACCTCTCAGCCCTCCTTCCCTCACCTCTGAGCTGAAGTACTTGCAAGGTCTCCACCGCACCCAGAAGACTCTGGCTGCAGCACCCCCACAATTCATTAGTCACTGAAAACATTTATTGACTAATTAGACACAGGCAATCTGTCCACTTGGGCTGTGCCTCCAGCAGGATTAGGCAGGCAGCCAAGCAGCTACAAATGAGGGCTGATAATTACCCCTAATTGCCCTGGCCTGGCCCTGCAGGCAGCCCTGCAGCAGCAGTGCCTGCACTGGGGTGCAGTACAAAGGCCTATCTTGCCTTTCCTGGTATAATAGCCTCAGGACAGTGGTAAAGCCCCAAAATCAAGGATTTGCAGGAAAGTTGGAGGCTGAGGATGGATGGGGTCAGGTTTTGTGCCCCTTCTGTTGTTCTTCTTTACCTGCATCTTCTTTCATCTCACTCAGCTCCATCCCAGCTCTGCTCCTTGGTATTGAAAGGGCACTGGGGGAGTGCTTAACAATAGACTGGCCTGAAAGCACTTTTTCCAGCCTAACAACAGCTTGGTTTATTTCTGGATGTCTCTCTGATGAGGTTATTTCCAGGATCACTCATTATCAGGAGCCATCAGCCCTTTGGTGTCTTTCTTCATGCCCCACACTCACATCAAGCAACACAGATGTGTTGCCAGTTTTGGTGTCCTGGGGCAGAGTCCCTAGTGCAGGAAAGGGAACAAAGGCAGAACCTCCCCAACAGCACACAGGGAGAGCAGCCAGGCCAGCCAGCAAATGGTTTTGATTCCTGAGGATTTCTCACATCCCTAAAATAGGACAAGTTGACATGACACTCCTGAAACAGCTCCCGGTGCAGCCGAGGGCAAACACTGCTGCTCTCCCTCAGCACTAACACAGCAGAAGGGGTCATTGCACTCATATTCCTTCAAGGGTGGCCAAGGGCCCTTTTCCAGGGACCTTATGGGTACATCTCCTGCTGCTCTTGACTTGGGGGAGAGGCAGCAGAGCCTTTTTACAGTGATTTGTATCTTCACATGGGCTATAAATTGTCATCTCATATTCCCAGCTTTTTGGACCCACACACCCTCCATCACATAGCTTGTTAGATGGAGTCTGATCTCTTGGGGTATTGGAAAGCTGAGGAAAAAGCTCCCCAGGTCTAATGTAAATGCTCCTGGCTTTGTGGATCTTTTGAGCAAGGTTTTAGGTGCTCACTGAAGAGATTCTTCTTACCTTACCTGCTCTGTCTCTTCTCTCTCCAGGGCAGAAGTGTGAACTTTGGCTCTGTGGATGTGTCTTTACTTTGGCTGATGTCTTGTTAGGAGCCACCCTGCACCGCCTCAAGTTTCTGGGACTCTCTAAGAAATACTGGGAAGATGGCAGCAGACCTAACCTACAGTCCTTCTTCGACAGGATACAGAAACGCTTCGCCTTCAGGAAAGTTTTGGGAGACATACACACCACACTGCTCTCTGCAGTGGTACCCAATGCCTTCAGGCTGGTCAAGCGGAAACCTCCCTCCTTCCTCGGAGCCTCCTTCCTGATGGGATCTCTGGGGGGAATGGGATATTTTGCTTATTGGTACTTAAAGAAAAAATACATCTAGTGCTGACTGCTTGGTGTTTAGTTTGGTGTCTCTGTGCTGTGTGAAATTATGATGAAGCCTCAGTAACTGTAATGAAATTTGAAGCAAGGTAATGAATAATTATATTGTTTAATGTAACATTCCATAGTCTAGAAGTAGAAACCTATACTGCAAGGAAATACAACAAAAACAACAACAACAACAACAACAACAGAAAAGCGTCAACTTGTAAATGCCTTTTTTAGGTTTAAGTATTCAACCCCAGCGAGAGGCTCAGGGGCTCACGGGCTCAGCCGTGCCCACCGGGAAGGGACATCGCCTCCAGCACCGGCTGGCTCCAGTGGGAGAGACAGGAATCCCAGGAGACTTCCCAACACCCAAGTTGACTAATGGGACTTGGAATATTTGGTCCTGTACGTTTGTGTTTCCAAGTTGTTCACTGGCCACATTTCACACATGCAGGTAGTGGGGACTTTCTTCTTCTCGAAGGCGTCGTGTCGTCATGCTCGGAGGCTCTCCCGGGAGCAGGGTGCAGTAGCTGGTCACAGTCAAGGTGGATTTCTGTTCTTCAAGTGTTCATTTTTTTAAATTATTTTCATGAAAAGGAGTATTTTTTATTGAGCTGCTCTTAGAATGTATCCACTTTCTACGTCTGGTTTTGGTGGGCTTTTTTTTAAAAGAATTTAATGTCTGTCTTTAACTGCAGCACTTTTTTCTTGAGATAAATCATTTTGACTTCCATCCTGAATTTTGGCACATGAAGGAGATTATTGTTTTAAGCCTTTTGGCTCTGTCTCTTGAGTTTTCCTTCACGGATTTGCAAAGCATCTTTCACCGACTGAGCATATTTGGACTCTGAAAAAGTACAACCATTTTCAGAACTTTTCAGCACTTTCCTGAAGGCGCTTTGGCTTTCTTCCATCCGGAGCTCTTTTCTGCCATTCCCTCGCTGTGTGTTTTCTTAGGGACACTTTGCACAGAATCACATTGATGACTTTCTTGTGCCTTTTGCATGCTGGAAAGAATAACGGGCCTCACTGCTACTCATGCTTTGGAAACTGAGATCCTCAATAAACCATATGGGAGGAGTAACGGCTTCGCATCTCTAAATGTGTTCCACATCCTTCTGGTCCTAGTGCAAAGCATGCCAGAGGGCAGCAGGATGTGCAGGTGGTTTGTGCTTTGGCTCGTGTACTGCACTGGTATAAAATTTGCATGGAAACAATATGTATTCCTTTTCCAAAGCACTCATTTCTGTAAGGATCTCCTCTGGCTGCTTTTCCAGGCGCTCCAGTGATCCCTAGTGAGCCATGCTGTATCTCTAGGCTTGGGAACATATGCCAAGTGTGGCTGAAACAATATGAATTGCATTTGCCTTATCTTTACACATTCGAAAGCAGCAAGCTTTCCCAGGAGCTTTTGATAGAACCTGTCAGCTGTAGAATTGGGAATATTTAGCAGGAATTACAAGGAATGAGCACGTAGTGATTAGACAGTGCAAAATGCACACATTTATGCTGTGCTTGTCACAATTGTGTAGGCTGGTCTGACATACTTCTGGAATACAACAGCATGTGTAGCTGCAAAGGCTCTGTGTTATCCATGTTACCCCCAGTGATTAGGGCAGCACTTGGAACCAGTGGGGGAGAACCCAAATCTGCCACCTGAACACACACACACACACACACCTGGCACCTGCAGCTGAGTGAAACCTTCCATACACACATTCACCAAATACATTCAGTGTTTGCCTCATGCTGCCAATGGCTGCACAAGAAATGGTTATTTTCCTTCTTTTCAAAGAGAGAGGCAAGAGGGTCCCCCGAGGTCATCCCTTTCACTGAATCTGAAAGATGTAAGATAACTATGGGGCATCACCTATCTGGTCCATTAGCTGATACTATCTCCCCAACAAGGATTTATAAAGACACACTGACACAAAACCCTCACCAGGATTTCATCCTTTTACCTTTGCCCACTGTCCTGCACACACATTCCCTAGTGATTTCCAAAAGCTGATGAAATACACACACCAGGTGTAGAAAGGAATATTAACAGGGTACAAGGCCAAGAAACCCAGAGGGAAGGAGAACAAATACTTGCTCCATCCCCAGGATTTCAGCCCAAGAATGAGGCAGAAGGAAGCTGCTTAGCAAGACTGCTGCTGGTTACTTTGCTCCTCAATTTTAAACCACAGAATGAATGTAAAGTCACAGAGAAAATCAGAACTCTAAACACTAGAGAAAATAGGTGTTCGTTTTGTTTGGAACACACTGTTCAAATGCAGCTGGAAGCCAGACAGATCCAGCTGCTGGAACAAGGCTTGGGTGGGTTTGAATCAGTGTGAGAGCTGTCAGCAGTGCTGCACTGTGTGCTGCTGGGGAGCCACACATGCTGTAGTGATGTGTTTTGTACAAGTTCTCAGCTAGGAATACTCACTAACAAGCCTTTGTTTCACACCAGATTTTAAAAAAAACAAAAATTGGTGCCACTCCCTGTCGCTGAGTCTTGTTTCCCTGCAGTGGTAATGAAACAATACCAGGACTTTGCTCCAGGGAAAAGCAATCTGCAAGAGCGATAAAAGACAATTACTGTGGCAGCAGAGGCTGGATGGATGTCCAGGACCCTGCTGAAACAGTGGGAGATGAATGTCAGCACCCCGATCAATCCAGATTAGCCAGTTGCTGTAAGCAGCCCTGGGGTGATTACAGGCTGTCATCATAAAAAGTTGCTCTTGCCCTGACTGAGCTCAGCCTGATCAGACCTTTTCTGCTCTAGTTCCACTGCAAAGGGGAGCCCAGTGCATGCCGTGGCCGTGAGCCTGGCACTGGCCAGACGTTCACTGCCCAGGGTGCTTTCTGTGCACAGAACTATGAAAACGATGGCAAAAATCTCTTTTCTCATGCCAGGATTTTACATTTTGCTCTCAGCAGGGTGTGGGGTAAGAGCAGACTCAGGGTGTAAGACTGGAAGGTGAGGCAGAGGTGCTCAGAGAAAGAGCACTCCGAGGTGCTATTTGGAGCCAATTCCAGCTCTGGGACACTTTACCTCTTGCTGCTGAGCAATTCTGTAGCTATTGCCATTGCTGAAGCACTGGCTTGGCTGCACTAGACAACAGGGAATGGCTCCTGCTGTATCCTGCACCAAACATTTCCATGCACCTGATCCCACCCCAGTTAGTGTCCTTCTTAAGCTTTACTCTAGATGTACTTACTTACTCAAGCAAATCTTTACCCTTCAAAATCACAGTGGTTGAGAGACAAATGTGCTTTTAGGCACCTCAGGGCTTTTAAATCTGTGTCAATGCTGAAATGTGGAACGTGTAATTATCAGAGGCAAGAAAATTAGAGGCTATTTGTCAAGTCCAAACACCTCTGAGATGGAGCTACGTGACATGGAACGAGCTCACAGGCAGTGGTCTCTCTCCTGCCTCCTGTTCAATGGGCTCCCAGTGGTCACATTTGCAGAGCTACAGCTTCTGAAATCTTTTTAGTCCTATGGGATTTGCCCAAAAGACTCAATTAGGAAAATGGAAAATGTATATGTCAGTCTTGCAACTGGCTGGCTGTTTTCTCCTTGGCTTGGCAAGGGATGGAGAAGATCTCTCCATGCAGAATAAAAGATTTCAACACTAAGCTCACCAGAGGACAGGGAACACACCACAGAGCCCATCACAACTTACCAAAGAAATACAGATTTAGGGCTGCCTAAGAATACCTAGTGACCATCTGGTGGCCCTCTCAGAAATTATTTGACAAGTCTTCCTCTGTTTCTGAATGAAAAACCCCATCTGAGGCACAAATTGCAATTTCAGAATCCAGGCTAAGGAGGGAAGAGAGATGGTGTAAGAGCTGTGCCTTCCTTCCTTTTTGGTGTGAAAATAAATGAAGGATTTCCCCACATCAGAACAGCAAACAGTAAACATTAAAGGTTGTGAAAATATTTAACGTCAGCTTGTGTTTGGTGCATTCACTGCTATCATTGAGATCAAAGCCAAAACCACCCAGGCTGGATCTGCAATTTAGGCAATGACAGCAACTAAATCTCTCAGGTTCCTGAAATATGTATGGGCTTAAAATAATATGGTTAATATGACAATAGTATTTTGAGATGGTCAGGGATAATATAAAATATGAAATAATGAGATTAAAAGCTAAATAACCAAAGAAATTCATGTACAGCTTAAGTGCTAACTACTCTAACCCCACACCTGCAGTTACCTGTGGCATAGCAGAGGATAAAAGGGCAATTTCACAACCATTCATGCCATCAGCAAAGCTGTTCTTGCTACACAGGTCTGTAGAAAAGCTCCTTCTGCAGTGGTGGGACAGAACAAAGTCCCCAGACCATGCTCAGCAGGCAGTGCCCAGAGAAAAGTTCAAACTCACAGGTATGAATGAGAGTGAAAACATCCATATATATGGTGAACAGGAACAGATCTTGTACCTCTGAAGGATTTTCTAAAGCATGGGCTCAGAGGCCAAATTGCAGAAGTTTCAGACTAAGCCATTTCTAGTTCTAAATGGAAGGTTGTCAGTGAAAACACACAGGAACTTGTGTGTATTCTCAGATATCTGTATTCTCAGATAAAGCACATCCATGACAAACAATCCCCAAATGTGCCCACATGGCATATTCACTACCGTTGTCTTTCATTCTCCTTTTAACACACTTTGCTCTGGAGGATTAACCAGAGAGCAGCCAGCCTGCATTGAGCAGCTCCCAGTGAAAGCAGGAACAGCAGATATGCCATAAGTAATGGAGATGAAGAATTGCTCTGTCAGAGCCAGGTGCCCATCACTGCAGGGGCTGCAGGGCCCTGTGTGCTGCCAGCAGGCTCTACCTGCAGAGAGCAGATCATTTCTGTCTCCATGTCACTTTGGTGCTGAAGAGCCTCAATGAGCAAAGTGTCAACCTCTACCCACTCCTCAGGAGCTCAATAGGGTTTTTTCCCTTCCTTTTTGTCTCCAACACAAAGGGATCTACTTCCAGCCCCTGTTTTTCTGTACTCCTCTCTCCTGTCCTACGCCTTTCCTCTCTCCAGGACTCACTCTCCTGTCACAGGCAGCTGGTGATGTGTGACCATCCTCAGAGGCATTTCTGTTGTGAGGAGCCCATGGGTTGTCACATTCTGCATCAGTGGACACAGCACCTCCTATTCCCACCTCCTGAGGAAGAACTGCTAAGAAATGAAGG